AAAATTTGTTTTTCAATATCCCATCTCTTTTTTTTGTTCTCTCTCTCTCTCTCTTTCCCGTTCCATTAATGAAATTCATTGCTACTGCTACTCCTACTACTACTTCTACTACTACTACTACTACGACTATCACAAGTACGACTACGCACATTACCACTACTACCACTACTACTACTACTACTACTACTACTACTACTACTACTACTACTACTACCACTACCACTACCACTACCACTACCACTACCACTACCACTACCACTACTACAACTAATACCACTACTACTACTACGACAACTACTACTACTACTACTACTACTACCAAGACCTACTACTACTACTACTACTACTACTACTACCTACTACCTGCTACCTGCTACCTACTACCTACCACCTGCTACCTGCTACCTGCTACCTACTATTATTGTACTACTCCTACGACTACTACTACTACTACTACTACGACTACTACTACTACTACTACTGCAACTACTACTACGACTACTACTACTAATACTACTACCACTACTACTACTCCTACTGCGACGAGTACTACGATTTCCAGTAGTATCTGTAGCAGTAGCAGTAGTCGTGTTTTCGGAACACCACGAGAACTAGTATTGTTACTACTACTGCTGCCGCTGTTATTCCTACTACTATTGCAGCTGCGGTGGCATCTACTACCACTACGAGTACGGATGCGACTTCGGTTGCGACTACCACTCGTATCACAATAACACTATTCGTTTTCATTGCTATTTATTACTACTTCGACTACTACTACTACTACTACTACTGCTACTACTACTACTACTACTACTACGACTACGACTACGACTACGACTACGACTACTACTACTACTACTACGGCTACTACTACTACTACGGCTACTACTACTACTACTACTACTACTACTACTACTACTACTACTACTACTACCATGACTACTACCGTGACCACTGCTACGGCTACGGTTGCGGCTAAGACTACCTCTGCCTACTGCTACTATAATGACGGCTTCTTCTTCTTCTACTACCACTACTACTGCTACTACTACTACTACTACTAGTACTACTACTACTACCACTACTACTCCTACTACTACTACTACTAGTTCTACGACCCTTTCTACAGTACTACTGTTTACTATTATTACTACTACGACTACTACTACTACGAGTGTTAGTGCTACTACCACTCGTACTACTACTACAACTACTACTACTACTACTACTACTACTCCTACTACTACGACTACGACTACGACTACGACGACTACGACTCTTACTACTACTATTACTACTACTACTACTACCACTACTACTACCACTACCACTACTACTACTACTACTACTACTACTACTACTACTACTACTACTACTACTACTCATACTACTACTACTACTACTACTACTACTACTACTACTACTACTTTTACTACTACTACTACTACTACTACTTTTACTACTACTACTACTACTACGACTACTACTACATCGACGATTACTACTACTACTACTACTACTACTACTACTACTTCTACTACTACTTCTACGCACCACTTCCACTCCTATTACTAGTGCGACTGTGATTACTTTTACAATTTCCACTATTACTACTACCATCTATTACTACTGCTACGATCACGACTACGACTTTGATTGCTATCACTGCTACCACTTCTACTACGGCCACTACTTCCACTACCACTACTACTGTTATCGTTATCTGTACTCATTACTATTCCTACTTCTTTTACTACTACTACAACTATTGCTACTACTACTACTACTACCACGACGACTACTACTACTACTACTACTCCTACTACTACTACTACTACTCCTACTAATACGACTACTACTACTACTACTACTACTACTACTACTACTGCTACTACTACTACTACTACTACTACTACTACTACTACTACTACTACTATTACTACTGCTCATCCTACTATTACTACCACTACTACTACTACTACTACTACTACTACTACTACTACTACTACTACTGCTGCTGCTACTTCGTAGCACCACTAGTACTACTGCTGCTGCTTCTACGACTACACTCCGTACGTCGAACAATCGTACATCGTACATCCGTGCATACGAGTGTCTGTATCAAGTGCATCATCGGTTACGCCTCCCCGCCGTGTGATTATGGGGGACATTCGGTTACGCCTTCGGGTCTCCGGGCGGGCTGCTCGGATCTGCGCTGGACCCCCCTTCTCTGGCGCGCGGAGCGCGCCAGGGGCAGCGCCAGCGGCCCCGCACGGTGCCCCGAACCTTTATGTTTATGCCCTGTCGTGCCCCTCCAGCATTTCGGAGATACGATGTTGCGGACAAATCTGCAGCATCGCGAAGCATCCCGTCTGAAGGCTGGAACCTTGTAGGTTCCGCTGCATTCTGCGAGACGGACCGGTCTCTATCTCTGGTGGTCGCGTTGCTCGATTCTGGGCGCCCCGTGCGAAACAGCCCGCAGCGCCCCGGGCCCCAGGCAGAGGCGCCCGACGCGATGCCCGAGGGCGCCCGCTGGGCCCGCGAGGGCGGCAGCGGCGTGGTGTGGTGCGAGTCCGCCGAGGGGCTGCTGCAGGCGGTGGCCGACGGCAACGCGAGCGTGGAGGTGGGCGGCGCAGAGGCCGGCCTTCTGGTGGATGCGGTGGTGCGCGTGGCAGGCTCCCTGGAGCTCGGGGGAGGTCGTCAAGCATCTGTAAAACGACGCGAAGATCGGGACAACATCGGATCAGGATAGCTCGAAATCTCTGAGGATCGGCGGGTGTGGAGGATGTAGTGGGCGCCGCGGCCGCTCCAGAGCCTTCCGGAACGCTCTGAGAGCGCTTCGGAACGCTCTGGAGCGATTTATCCCGATCCTAGCCTTGTTTTACGTCAAGCATCTGCGCGAACGAGATGGGCACGGAAAGAACGGGTACAATGCGCAACAGCAGTTCCTGTTCATTTTGAGCAGGACTCGCTGTCCGCGCCGCCGCGGCCTGTGTCCATTCGAGACGGGAGGCCGCCCGCCCAACAGCGGCCTCTGTTGGTTTGGGACAACATTTGCTGTTGGGCATTGTACCCATTCTTTCGGTACCCACTTCGGGCGTCCAAACAAGCAGTTGCGAAGAGTCGTGGCTCGCGTATAGGCCTACCAAACAATGTTCTAAGGACCTCTTGTGGTCTGCACGAGATGTTCTTGGGCCATTTCAGGCGGAGTCCGTCTTGTTCTATCCCATCGGGTTTATGGTTTCTACGAACATTGTTTTTGTTCTTACTACTTTTTGGGGTTCTAAGAACATTCAGTGGTAGGCCAATTGGAATGAATGCCGGGACGGTCGGTTTTCGCTGAGGGGGCTCACGAGACGGGGGTGAATGCCAACGGGCGCCAGTCAGGGCGCCGGATCCTGCAGGAGCCTGCAGGATCTTGCAGGGCCAGGGCTGCACTGACCTGAGCGTGGGCGCAGGATCCTGCATGATGTTGCTGGATTTTGCTGGCTCCTGCAGAGCCTGACCGACCCGGGTCTGGACTGACCCGGGTCAGTAAACCACCGAGGGCGAAGATACCTTGAGGTGCCGTGGGGTGCCAAGACCCCCTCGAGTTAGGAAGACATCGCAACGGAAGATTTTTCGCCGGCCTCGGGGGGACCTCATGAGGCTTCAGGACCGTCAAAACACGACTCGGGATGGAAAACCCGTCCCAGTGCAAGGGGTTGAGACCTATGGGGGTCGACGTTCTGTCAAAAGTCCGGACATCGGGGGTCTGGGAAGGTGACGTGTTTATGGCCCGTCATAGTTCCCGAGTGGGTTCGAACTGCCCTGAGTGGATAAAGATCTTGGCTTAGTGAGCTGCGCACACTTAGCCGGGGTATCCAACCCATCCAAGCTACGTTGGGCATTTGTAACCCCTTTGTCAATTGCGCCCAACATATCCATTGTGTGACCCTCTATCCCGTTTAGCAACCCGTCGTATTTTGTCGCACGAGGCGTTTTTTCGCGCGGCTTAGGGCTTGGGACATTCGATGTCGATCCCGCTCGAGAAGCGACGCGGCAAGATTGGGTCTGAGGCTCCAGTGATGATCTGTGCGCTGTGTTGCACCTTTTCATTCACGTCGGATTTCTGGAGATACCAAGGCGGCTGCTCGTCCTGAGGAACCCCTCTTGTGGCCACGGCTTGCTCTCTCGTTTTCGAAGTATTCACGTCAGAGCGCACCCGGGGAGAGCTGGAAACCGTTGCCGTGGAGCGTTCTGGGGAGCCCTCGTGGCCCGGGCCGGCTTCTCCTCGAAAATCCTGCGCTCAGAACGCGCCCCGGCGGGAAGGCAGAAGCCTGCGCCACTGGTCGTCCTGGGGGATTTCCCGTGGCCACGTTATGGACTCGCCTCGACATCCTGGCCAGCACGCACCCAACGGAGAGAGGTGTGGAAACCGATGCCGCTGTCCACCCCGGGGAGCCCTTCGCGGGCACGGCCGGGCCCGTCTCGGAATCTTGCCCAGGGCGCACGTTTAGGAGGTGTCCGGGTCAGTGGCGACACAGGGGCCGGACAGGAGGGGACGTGGGCACAGCTTTGCCGGGGACATGATATCTCGGAGGTGGGTATGCTTCCTACCCCGACACGCCGAGTATGGAGTTGGCCGTTTTCGGTTCGCGAGAGGGCGTCGCGGCCGTCATTTTTGCGGGTCCAGGTCCGTCGGTTTCGGCCCCAGGCTGTTTTCACTGAGGGGAGGTTTACTAAAGGGAGGTTTGTCCACCGCCGAATATCTCCCCGGACCTCATCCTGGCATCGCTCGGACGTGCGCATCTTTTCTCGGCGAGGGCCACCGAGGAGCATCCTTGACCATTCGGCGAGAAAAAAACACACGCACGACACCGAACAAAAAAACAGGGAACGGACGTCCGCGCGATGGCCCAGGGCGCACCTTATAGGAGGTGTCCAGGGAGTGGCGACATAGGGGCCGGACAACAGGAGGGGATGTGGGCACGGTTTTGCCGGGGGAGCGTAAGACCCGGGTCTGCCAGGACTCGGGTTCGCCATCGTTTTTTGACGACCGCGCCTCGGATTTTGACGAGGAGGAGTTTCGTGGGATGTCTGCAGCGGGAGGCTTCGTCAAAATGCAGGCTCGGCCTCGTCATTTTTTTGACGACCTCGTCGGGGATTTCCGAGTCCCCTGTACCCGGGTCTTACGTCTCCCTGATTTTGCCAGGGACATGATATCTCCCCGGACCTCATGGCCCCTCGGCTTCTTTCCGCGCGCCCCCTGGCCGCCCTCCAGGGCGCGGTTCGCGCTTCTCGGGCCACGCGCTGTGACCCCGCCGCGTGGGACGCGCGCCTCTTTGGAGATCCCGCCGGCTCAGAGCTCAGCGCTCCGACCTCCTCCTCCTCCTCCTCCTCCTCCTCCTCCTCCTCCTCCTCCTCCCTCCCTCCCTCCCTCCCTCCCTCCCCCTCCTCCTCCTCCTCCTCCTCCTCCTCCCCCTCCTCCTCCCTCCTCCTACTCCCCCTCCTCCCCTCCTCCTCCTCCTCCTCCTCCCCCTCTCCCCCTCCTCCCCCTCCTCCCTCCTCTCTCCTCCTCCTACCTCTCCTCCTCCTCCTCCTCCTCCTCCTCCTCCTCCTCCGCGGGGGGGCGAGGCCGCTGGCCCCAATGGAGGAGAAAGGATGCAAAAAACGGAGTCGTATGCGCTCGGCAGACACGGACAGCATGCACTGAGGGCTCCTGCCCCCCTCGCGCAGGCCCTGAGGGGCGCCGCCCCAGGCGGTCTCGCGGGCTCGTCTCGTCTCGTCTCGTCTCGTCCCGCTTTGTCTCCTGGATAATCTCCCAACGGTGTCGGCACGTTCTTCTTGGCATCGCTCGGAGGTGTGCACTTTCTCTCGGCGAGGAGCATGGAGGAGTATCTGGAACCACCTGGCGGAAAAATACACGCACGACGCCGGGAAATGCACGGGGAATGGACGTCCGGGTGATGGCGAGTAATTGAGTGATGTCGTTTGTTTCGGTCCTCCCCTTTTTTTTCTCGGCGGTGAATCGGACTCGTCCTGAAATTGGCCACTCCTCTTCCTCCTGCTCCTCCTTCTCTTCCTCCTCTTTCTCCTCCTTTCATGTCCTCCTTGCTCTCGCGGCGGGTGCCGCGGGAACAAATCATTAGGTGTCTCTTACTGGTGGGCAACCAGTCGTTCTTCGATAAGGCCGCCGACAAAAAATAATGAGCTACACCCTACTCGGGGGGGGGGGGGTAAAGACCTTTCAGTGTTAATTCCAGGAGGGGGAGCAAAACACACACACAGACACAAATCATCGTCGACCCCCAGGAAAACATGTTTGATTCGCGAGTCGAGAGCGCACCTCTTCCGGTCGAAGCTAAGCGGGCCGCGCAGAGCTTGAATTACGCAGAGAAGGGGACCCCCCAGGAAAACATGGTGAACCAGGGGAAGTGGGGGGGGGAAAACGGAAACCCAGAAACTAAATGGGACGACACAGTCGAGCCTGATTGCTATGTCGACCCTGCCAACCAAATCAAGGGTGCCCTTGTGCCCTGTGTCTCGCGACCCATGCCTTCTGCATTCCTGGGGCAACGGGGGCGCTCGGGAGGGTCTTGTGCCGTCTTTCGCGGGTCCTCTCCAACCGACCCCGACGATGTGGGGGAACCCTGGGATTTGTGTCTGCCTCCCTCGTGTGCCCCAGGGCCCCCTTCACCGGCCGGCGCCCCCTGGGCAGGAGCACCTCAGCCTCACGGGCTGTGGCCTCGACGGCGAGGCGCTGGGGCGGCTGGCGACGGCGCTGGCGCCCACGCAGATCCAGGCCGGGGGGGGGGCAGAGCAGCGCACGCGTCGGTCGTTGCGAGTGGGTATGTTCCTATCATCGCAGGCCTAGAGGTTGACACCAACACCAAGATCGGCGGCGTGCCTCCACCGAGGGAGGACGATCCCGATCTCGGTGATTGCGGTAGCGACGGGTTCCTTTTCCATGGGAAGTCGCGGATTGCCGCCGCCGACTGAGGCGGCACCGGCCGTATTTTGTGGAGGGCACCTCCCCCGATCCATGGATTAGGCGACCGCGCGCCAGATCCATGGATCGCTAATCCATGCTTGCGCGCCCGCGATGCTTGGCCTCCTGACTCTCCTCGACAGAGCCACACCGCCACAAGCATAGATTGTCGGAGCTCTGGGCGGAGTCCCTGGATCCGCGCTGGGCCCCGCGGAGGCGCCTCCGGCGCCGCCCCTGGCGCGCTGCAGGGAGGGGGGTCCAGCACAGATCCAAGAAATCCGCGCGGAGCGCCAAAAGCTTATGTTTACAGCGTTTTTTGTTCCTTCTATCGCCATAGTGTTGCATTGTTCACGCGACAGAGGACGGGGCCTGAGTTTCAGCAGTCCTTCTCGGGATGGAGCTGTCAGGAGAAGGTTTCTGATCGTCGAGTGTCTGAACCAAGACTATCCATGAGAGCGCTGCTGGCGGGCGCCGCGGGGAGCACATGTTCAGTTTCCTTGCATTGATGGGACACCAGTCCGTCAATCAGGCCGCCAAGCAACAATTGATTTCACTTATTTCAGAGCGTGAATTACCCCCGCTTTCGCTTCCAGGCAAAACCAAGCCATACCACGCGCCTCCTCGTCAAGCGGCCTGACCAGTACAGGCCGCAATTTGGCATTGTTTGGTATCTCTTGGAAGCGAGGGTGGTCAAAAGCGAGGTAGGTTTGTTTGCCCCCGATTATTGGCGTGGTCTAAAGGCCCTCGGGTGTTGGATGGGGCCGGAGGACCGCGCCGCACCGCCGACACATCGGTGATGCGGCGAGACGTGAAGCCCGATGCGCTCCACGCCGACGTCTCGCCGACGCTGCCCTCGCCCGCGTTGCCGGTGCATCGCCGCTGTGGCGCGATGCTCCGACCCGACGCGTCTGCTCGGGCCCCAGCTGTGAGGATCCGGTCGGGCGAAAGGGGGGGATAACCTCATGCCCGTGAGAATAAACACTAGGGGATAATAAAGTTCGGGGTTCAGGGAGAGATAATAAAAGTAGCCCAGCAGACCTCAGCATAATCTCGAAGTAAGAGATGATCAAGAGGAGACCAAGCCGAGCACGATTTGAGACATCCTTGGCGTTTAGTTTTCATAGAAATATCCTCAACAATGGCTTATCTCGCTGGAATGGAGGAAGCTATATATAAAAAAGAAAAATAAAAAGAATAAATAATAAAATAAAAGAAATGATAGGAGGAGGAGAAGGACGAAGAGAAGAAATAATCTCGAGTTTCAAATCTATTAGATTTTATTTACAGCGCTTTATGACAATTGTTTTTTTGTACGTGCTCGTGT